ATGAGACAATGTTTGTAAAGCGCTTTGTAAACCATAAAACACTACCCAAATGCCCTCTAGCTTTTCTGTACCTAGCATTCAGTACAACGTCTGGCACGTTATCATTGCCAGTTATTGAATTAAATCGCATTGAATCAAATCACATTTGGGAGTACTTTGATTATAGTATTACACAGTCTTCTCCCCTCAGTTCTGTAATGTGTGTATGTGTGTGTTTGTGTCTCAAACAAGATTGTGAACTCTTCAAGGACGAGGATTTTGTATTCTACTCTTCCTCCCCCATTGGAAGCCCCCAAGGCACAAACTGTTTTATTTAATCTGTGCCCCCTCATGCTTAGACTGTCCTCAGCACATAACCAAGGCTTAAACACTTTGATTTCAGCTTGCAGATCTGGAAACTGAGGCTGCGAAAGGTAAAACGATTTGTTCAAAGTCCCCCAGTGATTTAATGTTGAAGCCAAGACAAGAACCAGGACTGCCCCAATGCAAACCTTCCCTCTCATCCCTTTCTGGTTGACCGATGTCCATCAGTGTGATTTAGCGAAAAGAGGACTGAACTCGGCACACCTGGGTTTGAGTCTGAGGCTTGGTAGTTGCGAGATCTTGAACACGCCACAACTCCACTGAGCCACAGATTCCTTATTTGTAAGATGAAGATAAAGATGTTTGCATTTATCTACATCCCTGGGGCTGCTGGGAGGAAAGGCCACTGAAAATCTTAAAGCAGTGTATAATTTGCAAAGGGCTTGGCATACAGCAATTCTATGGGTGTGATTACCTACAGGCATTATTATTTTACAGGGAAGAAAGCTGAGTCTTAGAGAGGGTAAGTGGCTCCCCCAGAATCACACGGCTAGTGTTAGAGATGGGATTTAGACCTGTGTCTTCCTGACTCCAGGTCCAGTGCTCTATCCACTTCCCTGGCAGTAGAAATCTGAGTTATTATTGCTACATTATGGGATACTGAAGGAAGTTGAGAATGGGAAGGGAGTGTGGGGACAGGGGTGTGCTCGAGTCAACTTGAACCAGGGAAAGCTGACTGTTAAATTTTCAGCGTGAGCGTGTACACTTTGGATATCCGAACTGCAAATCAGGGCTTGATTTAGTCTGTTGATTGTCGGAGGAAGAAAACAACGGAAAAAAGCGCTGTGCAGATTAAATGTGCCGTGCTTACACTCCCCTCCCAAAGCTGGTTGTTAAACATTTACCAGCGCACCACCGGTTGGAACTCAGCTTTGCCATGAGAAGATGAGGCACAGGAGCTCATGACCTCCCCTCACATGTTGTCGATGGAACAGATCTGAGATGGTTCCCCGTAGGAGGGAGTGAGCTGGGGGGTGCTGTGTAGATTTGCTCCCACTCAGCGCTGGGGAGCTGAACCACGTGATTCAGATGGCAGGTTTTTTTCAAGCCAGTTCTTCCTCCTCCTCTTCCTCCCTGGGGAAGTCACGCAGTTGGTGAGACTGTCTGCCAATGGACAACATTTAGGGAGAGTGATCTCCCATGTGAAGCCCACTCCAGGGCACTCTGAGGAAGGTGGGGAAGGAGACGGGGGTCATGGTTCCTCACTTTTCTAATAAGAGAGACGCAATCTTTGTCCTCAGGAAGCCCATCGTCAGAAGGGGAAGGATTCAGAGAGTGAGAGGATTCAGAGCTGGAAAGAAACAGAAACTCTCTAGTCCAGTCCTCTCATTTTGTAGATAGGGAAACTGAGGGTCTCGGCAGAAGTATCATGGCAAAAAGGATGGACAGAAAGTCAGCATTTTAATGCTGCGCAAGCTTGGGCAAGCTACTTCATGTCAAGAGGTGTCCCAGTAGATAGAGCTCTGGGCCTGGAGTCAGGAAGATCCGAGTTCAAATCCACCTCAGATACTACCTGTGTGACCCTGGGCAAGTCACTTAACCTCTGCCTCAGTTTCCTCAGCTGCAAAATGGGGTCTATAATAACACCTACCTCTGGGGGCTGTTGTGAGGCTCACATGAGATATTTGTAAAGCGTAGCACAGTGCTTAATAAACGCTTGCTACCTTTCCCCTTCCCTTCACTGGGCCTGAGGTTACATATCTGTAGAATAAGCAGGCTGGAAGAAGTGACTAGTAAAGTCACATCTTCGGGGCTTCTGCAAAGTCTGGAAGGATTGTGGTCTGCACAGTAAGGCCTTGGAAGGGGCCAAGAGCCAGAAAAGTGCCAAAATACAGAAACGTGTGGTTGGAAAAGGCAGTGAGCCAGGAATGTAGCAAGAGAGAGGAGTGGAAAGCACATGGAGTGGAAACTCATGGTAGAACAATGACCAGAAGCACCCCGACTGGGAAGGCATGAATGGACTGCAATCTGCACCGATGGAGGGAATGCTCATGTGCCGAAAGAGGGCGGGAGGATTCCCTAGCCTCAGCGTGGGTCTTGGCCATCCATTTCACAAGCATGCCACGAAGCACAAAGGGACAGAGCAGGGGAGTGTGGTTGACTCAGCACAGACTACCCCCATTGCCAGGGGAAATGAATCTGAGGGGGCAGCTAGGTTGCACACTGCATAGAGCACTGGCCCTGGATTCTGGAGGACCTGAGTTCAAATCCGGCCTCAGACACATAACGCTTGCTAGCTGTGTGACCCTGGGCAAGTCACTTAATCTCATTGCCTAGCCAAAAAAAAAAAAAAGAAGTCAGTCTGAGTCCACAGTTCCGGGACGGAGGGAGGGTCGGAAGGTCTGGAAGGATGATAGTAAGCAGCCTTCAATGTCTGGGATCTCACCCCGAACGTGACTGCCTCTATCTCTGGATTCCCACAGTCTTGTGGTTTGGAACTGTTATTTCTGTGCCAAATAAACTGAATCCTTCACCCTAGAGCGGTGGAAAGAGTGACAAACCAGAAATAGGGGAGCCCCAATGTCAGTCCCAGCTCTGGTGCTTTCTGGCAGCATGTCTCACCCTTTGGAGCTTTGGTTTCTCAATCTCTCAATTAGGGTTTATGACACATACCTAAAAGGGCTGTTTTAAGGATCAAATGAGTTGATAGATGTAAACGTCACCTACAATCACTTCCACCATTCTGAGGCTCAGTACCTTCATCTGTAAAGAGTTGGTTGTATCAGACTAGCCTTAAAGGCCCTTCTCAGCTCTGGTCTTCCATATTGCTCATCAGTCATAGACTGCAGTGGGGAGGAACCTTCGGCCTCAAGGGCCTTCTAAATCCTTAAGTAGGGCCTTTTGACTGAATCCATCCTGGTTTACACATTAGCGAATACATAAGGTTCCAACCATCTACCTCCCAACCCAAGTTGAATCTAAACTATTATCCTCCAACTCAACTCTCAGGGGCCATTTGTACCCCCTAATCTTTCTCTGGCCTCTCAATTTCCCTTCCCTTTCCCTGTCTACCACTAAATCCGAGTTAGTAAAAACAACAGCTGAGAACATGTTAAAGCTCATAAACCACTGCCCCTTTTGATATTCACAACAAACCTGTGAGGTAGGCACACAGAGATGTATTATTGGCCCATACTGCAGGTGAGGAAACTGAGGCCCAGACAGGAGGAAGCCCAAAGCATCACAGGGTAGTAAGCAGCAGAACCAGGATTGGTCTTTGACTCCAAACCCTGCATTCTTTCCCTGGGATGACTTTGGTAGGGGTATTGGAACCCTGGGATTCTAGTCTTGACTTTCTCTCGCTGGGCTTTCTAGTTTCAGGGCCTTTTTATCATGAGGCATTTGGATAATTATTCTAAGTTTGTCATTGTTATGTTGTATAATTACTATATCTCATTACCCTATCATATAATCATACAGCATTACAAGATTTACATTCTATCTTACAATATTGCACGGTCAGGTGCCAGGTGAGGATGTACAGAGCATGAGGCCTTTCCCAGTTCCCCCCACTCCACTGCTAGCACCTTCTGTACATTCGTACATAAACACACATGTATACATATGATCTAGAATGTATATACATGGTTTTTTCCATGCCATGAAGACAGGGACTGTATGATATTTGCCTTTGTATCCATAGCCCTTGGCACAATGCCTAGCAAATAGTAAGTGCTTAATAAATGCCTTTTCATTGACTGATACATGTTAAGTTACATGTCCAGTTAGTGACTGGCACAGAATTTTGACTCCTATGTTCCTCACTTCAAGCTGACTAATTAGCTGGTAGAATAGGGATTGGAACCACAGTCTGACTGGGGCAAATGAATGTATAACAAACTTCTGGACCAACAAGATATGAAGGGGCAGGAATAAATACAGGTGAAGAGCCAGACACATTACTAATTATGCCAAAGCATGGTGTGGTGTTGAGGTACCCACATAAAGTGGGGATAAGCTTTCTCAACTGGGTCAGGCTCTGCCCATCATACTGTCTAGCTGATACATCTTTATTAATTCAACAAACATTTATTAAATGTCTCTGATGTGCCAGACACTGGAGATAAGACAAAGAAAAAAACAAACAAAAATGAGGTAATCTCTGTCTTTGAATTTACATTCTATTAGGTGAATAAAACATGCCCCCAGGAAAGTAAATATGAGGCAATGTTTGGAAGGGGGAAACATCAGTGCCTCAGCAGTATCAGGGAGATGGCATCTGGGCTGAGCCTTGAAAAGAGTCATCTAAATTGGAAATACGGGCAGTTTCTGGCTACAAGGTGATTGGAACCACAGAATTCCGAACGGCTGTTCGATGGCACTGGCAGAGAATAGCAGGTTATAGTAACAACTGGGTCAGACTTCTTTCCTCTTCTGGCCCTCCTTTTCATTGTCCTTCCTCCCTCCTAGCTGAAAGTTAGCTACAATGTTCAAACAAAGATGGGAACCGTGTACTGTTCAGGAGCTCTGTGCTAGGGGCGGTCCATCGATGGGTTTCCCGGTTTTGGAACATGGTGACCAAAGGGAGGGTTTCTTTTAAAATGGGAATTACTGCCTCAAGTATCAATGGTTCAAGAAAAAATAAGGCAAAGAGGTGATGGATATGCTATTGTGGCAGAATAAGACACAAGAAGCGATGTGTATATAATATTTTATTGGGAGAAATAAGGCATTGAGTGGTTTACCCCAGGAACAATCTTTTTCGGCAAGACCACTGAGAACAAGACGTTGTCAGGTCCTCCTGAAAGATAATAACGATATAATTATGTAAAATTTTCAAAGCACTTTGTATACATTCTTACTTTAAAACCCTATAGCACAGGTATTACCATCTCCATTTTACAGATGAGGAAACTAAGGCTTAGCAAGACTAAACAACTCGCTCAGGGCCATGCAGCTAGTAAAAAATTAAATTAAAAAAAATAAAAGAGGGTTGTAAGTCTTCCCAATTCCAAATCCAGCATGCTATCCACTACATAGCCCTTTTGACCCACTTACCCCAATTCCTACCCTCGACTCCTCCCAAAACCACTCCCTCCCCCATCCAGTGTGTGTGGAGTAACATATCCAAGTTCCCAACCTGCATCCAGTCCTGAGGAATGAGCAGAGAATAAGAGAAGCACCTTGAGGCGCTGGCCACAACATTCCAGTCAAGAGACTGGCCCCTCAGCAAGAATTCTTTCTCCTGCTCATCTTTGCAACTCGGAGGAATGTGGGTGCCATCTGCACCAATCAGGAAGCCAAGAGTATCACCAGCTCAACCATACCTGTCACATAACGTAAAGATTTCTTTCTCAACCAGCTTTTAGAGCAGGGTTGTTTAACGCGGAGTTCCCAGACCCCTTAGAGAGTCTGGCTAGATTTCAGGGGAACCGATGAATTTGATTTTTTTTATATTTTGATCATTATTTCCATATAATTGGTTGAATTTTAAAATATGGTTATGAGAATGGGTTCATAGGCTTCACCACTGCTAAAGGGCTCCAATGTGTAACAGAGGTTAGGAGTCCTTGCTTTTAGAGTCTCAGGCCAAAACTCTGGAAAAAGGCAGGGCCACACTCCTCGACCACTCTGTCCAAAGGCTTTGTGGTTCACGGGTAGGGCAGAGGAAGCAGCGTGGGGTTTGGAGTTAGGGGCCCTGACCTCCAATCCCACTCTCCGGCCTATCCCAAAAGCTGCTAACTTCAGGATTCTCCCGCTCACCTGTTGCGTGTTTCTCCTGCTCGGAAGAATTTTAAGAAGAAACCAATTCTGTCCAGGACTGGTGCGGCTCGAAGGCATGGACCAAATGACCTCTGATCCCTTTCAAACCAGTCACAGAAACTCAGAGTTGGAAGGAACCTCAGAGGCCACCCCGTCCAGCCGACACTGAACAAGGACTGTCTCTGCAACGCCCCTGAGCAGCAGTCATCCAGGATTGGCTTGAAGGCTTCCAGGAAGGTGAACGACCCACTTCACTTTCAGATAATTTCGATCCCTAGGTCACACCTTAACCTGCATCTCTGTAACTGACTCTAGTTTTGTTCTCTGGGGACGAGCAGAAGAGCTCTATTCTCTCTTCCTCATAAGGGCCCTTCATATATTTAAAGACAGCTATGATGTGCCCCCCATGTCTTCTGCTGATTAGGCTGAACGTTCCCCATATGGCGCCAGGCCCTTCATACACATTCAGCCTCACCACCCCCCCTAGCATAACCCACCCTTGGGGCCGGGATGACTCATATTGATCGTGGGTGCCAGTAAGGATGGAGGTGGCCCTCCCTTCCAAAGCTCTCTCACCACCACCCTCTCTCGGTCCCTGAAATCCCACCATTTAACTTCATCCCTCTGTGTCATGCACTGCCCTCCCCAGGGTCTTCTTATGAAATTCAACCATCCACCAGCGGGGAACCCTAACAAAGTATGAGTGAGGTCATCAGAGCTCTTCTTCCAGAGGGAGGGATAGACAGCTGTGAGGGCCATGTGCTCCTGAGAGGGAAGAAGGATCCTGGGACCGGATTTAGAGCTGGGTGGGGTCTTGGAGACCATCAAATCCACACCCCTCACTCTACAGATAAAGAAACCGACACCTAAGGATCTGTGTCTGGTCCACAGTTAAGGGTAGGATGGAAAACCTTGGATTCGGAATCAGAGGTCCTGGGTTCGCATCCCAGCTCTGCCTTAATACCTGGGTAAGTCACACCCCTCTCTGGCTTTCAGTTTGTAAAATGAAAGGTTTGGCCCAGATGACCTTTAGGGTACCTTAGGGCTCTAAATCTAAGATCTCCTCGAAGGCATGAATCCCGGAAACCTCTTCCGAGGGGAGATGGAGAAAAGAGAACTTTCTTTCCATTTTCCTAGGATTAAGGAATTTTGAGCTGAAAGGTGCTTCAACAACCATCGAGTCCAATCCTGTCATTTCACAGATGAGGAAACTGAGGCCCAGTGGTGACATGACTTGCCCAAAGTCACACTGGTAATAAGACCGAGGCGGATTTGGACAGATGTCCTCCGACCCAAATCCAGACCCTTTCCAACAGGTCTGGATCTCGAGAAGAGGTTCAGGGAGCCGGCCTGGTGGAAGGAAACTCATTGTGAGGAGACAGCCGAGACCGAGAGCCCCGGAGGGGCCCCCAGCCCAGTCACTTTCCCCCGGCAGCCCTCTGCGGGCCCCAAGACGGACTGGCTCCCGGCAGCCCATGCCCACGGTAAGGCACACCTCCAGATCTCCCATTCCGCGAGTCTGGGTGGGGATGTGACCAGGGGCCACAGAGTTGGAGCAATCCTGCCTCCTCCCCCCGCCTGCCACGGTCCATCCCCAGGAACGATGGAAATACTCAGAGTCACACACTCCGGGAGCTGGCGGGCACCTGGCGCAGCCCGCTCGTTATGCGGCCGACACGAGGACGGCCAGTGCGCTCTCCTCCCTAGTTCGTGGGTTACGTAAGGAAGGCCTTTCCTCCACTCCTCCGCTAGGGACAACAATGAGTTAACTGCGTGCGTCACCAGTGGCGTCACTAGTTACCAAGGAGGTTTGGCATCTGGTTTTTGCAGCCCCCAGGACCCCAGGGATGGACGCCCTGGGGAGCCACAGATGCAAAGTCCTAGGTCAGGAGGGCCCTTCCCCCCTCCGCCGGACCCCCTCCTCCCTCCAGCAGCTTCTGGAAAAGTCAGAGGACTGGAAAAGGGTGGAGGTTCTCTATCACTGAAGTCTTTCCCCCTCCATCCCCCTCCCCGCCCCCAGTCAACGTGACTTACCGTTTGCAGGAGCCCCCTTGGGGCTGGGACCCCAGCCCCTTCCCTGATGCCCACGGAGAAAGCAGCAGAAGGGTGGGGGTGGGGTGGGGCAGGGGACACGGCAGAAATCCGAGCCCAGGAAGACGGAAGGGGGGAGGGGAGGAGGGTCGCGGCGAGCCGGGGACAGCGAGGCAGGGGCCCCCGCACAGAGATGGGGGCAGGAAGGGGGACAGGTGAGGCGGGGGACAATGAATGGGGACTGGGGGAAAGCCGGCAGCGGAGGCGGGGCGGGCAGGGAGACGGCCGAAGGGAGGCTGCGGACAGCGGCCGGCGGCGGCCCACGAGGCCGAGCCGGAGCAGCGCGGGCGGCGGAGCAGAGGCAGCGAGATGCCGATGGAGAGAAAGCAGCTAGAAAAAGGGGAGGCGAAGGCAGGAGCGCCGGACAGAGGGGGCGGAGGCAGCGCTTGACTGCGGGCCAGGGGCGGGGGGCTCCCGTCACTCAGGCGGGCGGCCCCGCTCATTGGCCCGGACCAGCGCCCGCCCCCGGCCCGCGGGGAGGGGGAGCGGGGCCGGCTGCGGCCCCGCCCCGCAGCCGGGGAGAGCGCAGCCTCCCGCAGTGCGGGCCGGCCTCGCTTTCCGCAGCCTCGCGCCGCCGCGCAGGGACAGCAACAGGATGCCTGCAGAGCCGAGGGCAGCCTAGCTTTCGGGGCGCCCCACGGCCTGGGGTGACTGCCTCCCGGGGCCGACCGAGCCCACTTGGGGTGGGGAGCTCATCGTGGGGACCCTGCAGGGAACTCCATTGTAATGCGAACCGCACCCAGTCCCCCCTCCCCCCCTTTAGCCTGGCCACCCACCAGCTCCAGGAATCCAGCCCCGCCCCCCAATCTTCGGTGGGGCCCGGGTCAGGTCCGGAGGAGGGCGGGGCCTCCCTCAACATGCAACAGGGGGTGGGGTGGACGCTGCCCGGCCCTCGGATCTTGGCTCCACCGCTAGGAGAGCTCGGAAGGGCAAGGGGGGGAGATGCGGGGGGCCCACTGCCTGCCCTCTGCAGGGCGCACGCAGCACCCCCTCTTTCTTGGCGCAGGGACGGCAACAAAAGCAAACCCTGCTCCGACTTCTGACCTAGCAGGGAGGTTCCGGCCGCCCCCTCCCACGCCCACCAAAAAACACTCGTGGCCTTTCCGGAGCTTTGAGTGTGGGGCGGGCAGGTCCGAGGCGCAGGACTAGTCCCTTCCGGGCGTGAGCGGGAGGGGCCGTGCATGGACGTCGAGACTGAGGGATGTACAGGAGCGAGGATGAGGGTGAAGGTGGTATGGAGGAAGGGGAAAAGAAACAAGCATTTATATAGTGCCTGCGATGTGCCAGGCACCGTGCTGAGCGCCATACAAATAAAGAATGGGGGGACAGCTCCTGAGTCTTAGATCTTGTCCAGACCCTGCCTCTTAGATGAGGGAACTGAGGCACAGAGGACTTGCACAAGGTCATACTAGGAGTAACAAAGTTGGGGTTTGAGCCCCGGCTGTCCGACTCCAAATCCAAATTTACCTCCACTAAATTTCCTCTCACCTTGAGGTACGGGGAGCACCAAGATACAACGGGAGGTGCTTTAGTTGTGACCTTGAGTCACTGCACCGCTGAGCCTCAGTTTCTTCACTTGTAAAATGGGAAGGCTAGACCAGATAGTTTCCGACAACTCCGAATTATCCCAAAGATTAGTGCTACAACCTAGGCCTTGACTCCTGGGAGTCAGGGGTGAAAGGGCCAGCCCACCCCCTTGCTGGTTCTGTGGAACCCTCTACTAGCTCAGAATTAAGCGCTGCTGCAGTGAAGGGAGTGACCCGACAGGGAGGAACGAGGGAGCTCTGACAAATGGGGTCTAACACATTCCTTCTAGAAAACGCTGCCCACCACCCTCTCCTGTCCATGTCCTGACTCAGGAAGGGCTGTGCCTACCTCCGCCTGCCCTCCCCCACCCCAGGTGGAGCCGGACCTCTCCAGTCACCCCGGGAGTCCTGGCAGCCAGTGAGCGTCACCTCTTGCTGTCCATTTCTCCAAACAGCTTTATTGTAGATGCCAGCAAGCAATCACAGGGTTCCAAGCACAAGACAACCAACCCTTTCCTGTCAGCCTCTTCACTAAATGTGTGGGAAAACGGACTGTAGCAGGGTCCTGGGATAAGGTGCCAGGTGTCCATAGCACGAAAACTGTGCTTCCAATGCCCTCATCTACAGGTACTGGATTGAAACGGGTTGTAAGGAGAGGAAAGGAGGACCGTGGGGTTCTCCATGCTTTGGGCTCCCATCAGGGGACTCCTTGGGGATAAACAGCCTGACAGAAGGCAGACTGGGACCCACAATGCAGCCCCTGGTGCATTAGAGCAACAGTGCTAAGTTCCAGCTTAATCGACACAGCATAATGTGGTGGGCCCTAGTTACTGGGGAAGGATCTGCTGGTGTGGGGCCGAGCTGGGGAGATTTAGAGATGACAGGAAGCCCTCCTCTCTCCTCAAGACCGCAGTTTTCCACCCCCTCAATCCAGTCACTCCTTCATGCCAAGCACCTTCTCTACGTCCACTAGACCACAGAGTGTGATACGGCCCCTCCTCTTTAGGTACGCCACACAAGTGGATGAAAGGCACACACAAGCCACGGACAACACGGGCTGCCACTGTCAAGGTATCTCCCTGGAGGTAGGAAAGGAGTAAGGCCTTGGGGGGGGGGGGGAGAGTCACAGGACAGCACAAGCCCAGAGGGCAGGGGCCAGCTTTGTCTGGGATCCTGGCCTGGCACACGCTCCCTAGATGAGCTGCTTACTCTACATCTGAATCCCAGCTCTAGTCCTCACTGCCAGCAAGGCTGATTCTGTCCCCTCACTTGTGCTGCATGAAGGCTGGACCAGACCCTGGTCCAGGGCTGGGGACCCTGTGGCCTTCTGGGGCCTTGGGTGCAGCCTTTTGACTGAGTCCAAGTTTCACAGAACAAATCCTTTTATGAAGGCGATTTGTTCTGTGAAGTCTGGACTCAGTCAGAGGGCTGTGCTTGAGGACCCGGAGGGCCACACGTGGCCTCCAGGCCACAGGTTCCTCACCCCTGGACCAGGGGATCTCTAAGATGCGAATGATGCAGTGACGGCATGACAGGTCAGAAGCAGGGCAAGTGGAGGGGTAGGCAGTTCAACGGGCTGAGTGGAACCCTGTTAGGAAGGGGGTGCTGGCGCTGAACACCAGATAGCTAGACTGGATCCCACAGGAGACGGGGCTACGGTGACCCGAGGGAAGCAGATGCTAGAGGTGGGCTGACATAACAGACCTTAGATCATCCAATCCCCTGACTTTACAGTTGAAGAAACTGAGGCTCAGAGAAAGCAGCCTGCCCAAAGAAATAGAAAAGTAGCCAAGTCAGGATCCGAACCCAAGACTTCTCATTCCCTGTCCAGTGGCCTTTCTACCTTGTGCCAGGGGCAATGGGACTGGGAAAGGGATAGGCATGAAGCAGTTGTGAATGAATGGGATGGTGACATGGAAGTTTTGGGAGTGGGGGATAAGCAGCACTTGGGAGAAGGCACGTGCCATCCTTCCTGGGCTTGGGTTTTAGCCCCATGAAGCTGAGACAGAGGCAGCGTAGAGAAGGCCTCTCCTGTGACCACCACCCAATGCCAGCTCTTGAGGCCGGACTCCACACAAAGAGGCCTCCTTGGGAAGGCACAGGGAGAGGCACTATGCCCGCTCAGCACTGCTGGCACATGGGCAGGGCCACAAGGTTTCATTTTCAGCAGGGGGTTCGGGCACAGGCTGGCCATCGTGGTTAAGGCCTGACACGTTCCCCGTTTCTTACGAGGCTCTCTTCTCTCCCCAACCTGTCCCAGCTCCTCAAGGACAGGGCCCATCCCCTCTTGCTTCCTTGGCAGGCCTAGCACAGGGGGGCCTCCACAAGAGACCCAAGTACCAGTGGGAGGTGGGGAGGAGATGGCTAGGGTGGTCAGCCAGCATTGAGAGGGCCTCACACATCTGCCTGGTGGAGGGGCTCTCACTTTCCTGAAAGACGGTCATTCATACGATGCCGGGATACCCTCAGTGCCAGAGAAATCTTTACTTCCCAAGGCAGCTCACGGCTCGGAGGACTGCAAGGTTTGGTCTCCTGCACCTCCTGTCCACGAGAGCCCCAATCCAGAGACGAGGTCATTGTGTCTGCCCCCTTCACTAGCCAGGGATCGAGCTGGATAAATGAATGTTAGACCTCAACCAACAGGTTTCCCCACATCCCCACTCCAGGCCCTGTCTCCCTGCATCAAATGTCTCTCAACCACAGAAGAGTGTGGATGGCCACTGCAGAAGCTACAACTGGGCACAAAGCGTGTGGATGGGGGATGGGAGAAGTGCACCCAGACTACGTTCAGGGCTCTCAAGGCCTATGGCCCTTAAATGGCATCTCATCTAACCCCCTCCTTTTTATGGAGGAGGAAGCAGGTTCATGGCCCTAGGGGCCAGCCCCACTGGTCATGGTCAGATGACCCCATGAGCACAGGGCTTCTCCCTCCAACTCAGCCTGCAGCAACAACTCTTCCCTGCCCCCAGATGGGGGGCTGGTCACAGGCTGTGACACTTGAGGGGGAGGGAGGGGACCCTGTTAGACCCTTATTTTTTGATGCGCTTATAAAAGAGGGCCAAGGCCACAGAAAAGAGAGCCACGGCCACAGCAGACCCCAGCCACACTCCCCAGGAGCCGTCCCTACTGGGATCAACTCCAGGCTGGGCTGCAGTGCCAGGTGTCTGGCCCACGTCAGGACCACTCTCAAGGAGGCCCTCACTGGGCCTCTCGTCAACACGGAGCATGAAGGTTCCCAGGGAAGGACTCTCTGAGTCCCCAACCTCTTTGGGGGGACCACTGGCTTCTGGTTTCCCAGGGGAAGGCACATTGGTGACTGAGAAGTAGTCATTCTCCTCGGGGAGATTCACAGAACTGCTGCTACTGATGTGGAGGGACTCACTCCCAGAGTCCCTGCTGATGATCAGGCGCTCAGAGTCACCGGAGTAGGGCTGGTCATCACACGAGTGAAGCACCCCAGGCTTGCTCACCTCCATCTCTTCCACATGGGGAGGGGGCACCTGGGGGACAGGGCTGGGGAACTTCGGGGCCAATGGCGGCGGCACCTGCAGGGAAACAGAATCTGGGCTGTCACTGGGACGCCAGGGCTGGACATCACCAAACGGGAGGGCCTGGGGCTGCCAGGGCCACAGGCAGAAGCAGAGACTGCATCAGGAGGCCTGGAAGTCCCCAAGCCTTCAGCCTGGATCATCAGCCCCTTTTGGGGATTGTAGCAAAGCCACTGGGTATTTGCGGAGGGCAGAAGGACGTGTGGATGGAAACAGGAAAAGGATCTAGGCCAGGGTCCAATGGGGGTCTCTTTAGTGGACCCCCACCCCCGTCATTCCCCTTTCCCCCACTTCTGGCACTCTCCAGACATGGAAGTCATTCAGGGCAAAAAATGGGGCTAAGACTCTAGGACAAATCCTGTCCTAAAAGTCAGGAACTCCAAGACCCACAGGGAAAAAGGACGTGCTGATCCCTTCCTGCCTGAGACCTGTAGAGTCAGCGGGGCTAGACCCCGACTTGTTCCTGGTCGAGCAGCCAATGAGCCTTCGGCCCCAAAGCTCTGCACACGCAAGGCAAGGTGAAGTCGAGATCCAGAGGCTGTGTGAGGTCAGATGAAAATAAGAGTCCTCTTTGGCCTAGGCAAATGAAGGCCCACAGGGGCCCTCTGAAGGAGCGGAGCTGGGGGTGCCATCTGCCTGTGTTTCCCAGGGCTACCCCACTTTCCCCAACAGCGAGTGAGCACAGGGGATTCATTCCATGAGGAGGACCCAGGCTGAGAGGATGAACAGGGCTAGGAAGGGCTCAGAGAAATCCCTGGAGAATGGGATCCTCCCTGGTGGGTCACTGAAGGGAGGCAGGGATGCTTGGGGGCCATCCCCGCCCTGTAAGGCCAGTGTCAAGGAAAGTACTTCTCAAAGTGTCCGCTGGGCCACCGGGTAGGGGGCTAAACCCAGAACCACTAACTCCCAAAAGAACTTGGGACATCTTCCTGCTGGGGGAGGGAGATCTTACCCTCTGTGGCCCCAGGATCCTGGTGGTAGGCTCTTTGCTGGCGGGCAGGCCTGTGCCGTGGATGGGAGAGGCAGCCATCAGCTGGTTTTCATTATCCTGTGAGGAAGCCGCAGCACGGGGGAAGGAAGCTTCAAGTGGGGAAGGCGGTGATTGGGGTCCAGATGTGGGGCCTGCCTTCCTGGAATGGGGCACAAAGGAGGCAGACGGAGATACGGGGCCTCTAGAAGACGGTGGGAGAGAGGCAGAAGCTGGGGGTGGAAACGAAAAGGCAGAACGCTTGTAATCGTATGTTTCTCCCAGAATGTCATGCTAGCCAACCTGGGCCTCTACATCATCCCTCTCCACTGGGGCCCCCTCCAGGCCAGCCGTCCTTCACCGCCTTCCCCAGCTGCCTTCTCAGCTTGGAAGAAAGATCCCACCAGCCCTGCAACCCTTATATCCCACTAGTAAGTTCCCTCTAGAACCTCCATTTGCATGTGACTGCCCCCTTGAGAAATGCTCACTGATTGGCTGACTAGGAAGAGGATTTGGGGCCATTCTCCATTGGGGTGAGGGGCAGGTGGCTCATGCTCGTGGTGCTGACTTCAGAGGTTTAACAGCTGATCCAGTCCAGATCTCCCAAAGGGACTGAGCTCTTCTGGGGTAAGGCCACGAGGAAGGCAGATGGCCACCACCAATGCCACCCATCCCACTGATACTTACCAAAGTCCACTGAGTTTTAAAGCTGTAACAGAATTTTGTGATCTTCCCGTCCAACTCTAACTCCCTGTGACATTCCCAACCTGTGGTCAGCTGGCCTCTGCTTGAAGGCCAAGTAACCCATTCTACTCGGTGACCACTCTCCCTGTTTGCATCTCCCCGACAGCTCCTGGCTCTGCCCTCGGTGGCCAGACAGAATCAGTCCCATCCCTCTTCTGTGGGCCCGCCGGCCTGTTATCCACTCCAAGATGGCTCTCGTGCCTAGCATGGTGGCCAACACCTCTAATCTCTCCTTCTCTTGAGCTTGGGAGGTCTGCGCTACAGTGGCCCAAGCCAATGATGACTGGGAATCCAAAGACCAGCACCTATATGGTCAGCTTGTCAGGGAGGGAAGAGGAAGGAGGGTCTTTGGGAAAGGCAGACCAGCTTAGGTCAGAAGAAATGGAGCAGGTTAAAGCTCCCATGCTGATCAGAATGGGATGGGGCCTGTTAAGTGGCTATGGCATTTCCAGCCTAGGTAAGATGAGGGAGACCCAATTTTGAAAAAACAAACAAAACCAGCTGTGATCTTCCCCAAGTCTCTTTTTCTCCAGGCTCTTCGCTATCCCTGCTTTGAAAGGTCAATGTGTTCCTTAAGACGAGATGCCCCAGACTAAACACCACACTCCTGCCATGGTCTGTGCAAAGCATAGAGGAAGGGGACGATCTAGAAGCTCCGCCTCTTCACACAACCCAGGACTGCGTGTGTTTTCTTGCTGGCACATCCCACTGTCGACTCAGGGCAAGTTTATAATCCCCTAAAACTTCCTAATTGTTTCCACTGTCTAACCATACCTTCCCCATCTTGTATTTGTAAAGCTGGGTTTTGGAACCCGTGTTCAAGCCTTTACTTTTATCCCTGTTGGACTTTATCTTCTCAGATTCAGATCAATCAGCCTGTCACTATCTTTGGGGATCCTATCATCTGTTGTATTAGCTTTGTGTCATCTCCAGATCTGATAAGTATACCATCTGTGCTGCCACTGACTGACCCACGTCACTGATAAAAATGCTAGCGCACACTGGGTCAAGCACCAATCCCCTGGGCACTCCATCAAAGACCTCTGACCTCTCGGTCTCCCCATTCAACCATCTGTCCAATACTCAATGCGTCTTCTAAATGTATTATCTTCTAGTCCACAGGAATTTATCCAGGGCATCCAGAGCTCCTTACTTGTCTTGAGTATTTGTTGCTTATTAGCTGTTTTTGTTGGGTCTTTTCCAATGCAAAGGCCATCCTCCTTTACAGAGAAAACAGCAGCAAAGAGTGGAGTCCTTGGATCACCTCTTTCTTGAAGCTGCTATCATTCCGGCTGACAGAAGCCATGGTCCAATGCTTCATCAACTCCTTCATTTTCTTCCCTTTTTTTAGGTTCGATTTGTGAATCCATTAACATAGGGAGTTCCTCTTGAGAAAATTCCTTCTACCAATGTTTGGAGTCACCTTTTCTGAAACTTACAGGCTTGGAGAGCTACCTGGAGCACTAAGGAGTTAAGTGACTTACCCAGGATCACACCTACAGGGTATGTATGCATGACTCAAATTCAGGTCTTCCTGACCCTGAAGTGGCTTTTATTCACTGTAAGTATCTTGTCCCAGGCTTTTTTCACCAGCCTCCAGCTCTCCTGATACTATTTGTTCATAACTGTGCCACACTCACATTCATCTCGCTAACATCTTCAGTGTGCCAGTCCCCTCAATATCTGAGTTGGTCAGAGAGTTTCCGAGGGACCCACATCAATCTCTTTGAACACTGGGAGTGGTTCCCCTTTGTGTCTCCAGAGTTTATTTTGAGTGTTTCCCATCTTTCCCGGGCTGACTTCTCCTATAGAATTTTAGTCCATGGATTCTCTCTCTCCTTCCCTTGAACCCTTTGAAATTTATTCTCCCAAAATCTAGGATGCAGGTCAGCCTATACCCAGTTATCCTCTCCTACTCTATTGCAAATTTTAGGAGGGAGCGGTCACTTCCCTTCAATGTGTCCATCATTTCCATCCCCACGAGTTCTTCCCTGTTAGTGAGAACTGCATACAAAAAAAAAGATTTCCCTTTTTTGTTGATTATTCCTCCACCTTTTGAAGAATAAAATTATCATTAAGGCAAACCAAAAAGTAGCCCTCATTCTGCTTTTGGTGGAAAGCTCTCCAGCAGATGTCTCAGAGAGCTGAAGTCCCTCATCACTGACTATCACGCCTCAGTGCCAGGGTTGCAGCCTGCTTCCTGAAGTCCTTCTCTATTTCCTCTTCCTGTAGAGGCGGTCCACAGGTCAAATCTTTTTCTGTTTCTCACTCTGCTGATCTTCACCCCGATGCCTTTCACAGTGCTTCTCTCCCCAACACCCTGGTTCTTGGATTTCCTCACAAAAAACTCTCTTCATATACAATGCCCTCATCCTCCCCCAGCACTGTAACTTATGGGGTTCTTCTGAACATGGTACTGTCTTCCAGAACTGGATTCAGGTCGTGAGTTTCATCCCCTACATCTCGGACAAGGTCAATCTGCTTCCTGGGTTAGGACCTTCCCATCACCTTGCCTGCCACCTAGACCCTGGGCACCTATGTACTGACCTCTGAGACCCAAGTCCTACCACCGGCTCCTTTCCTGGATCATCTCTCGTGAACTCCTGGCACGTCACCTGCTCTTACCCTTCCCCGTAGCGCCCCTCTGTGGTGCTGCGTTTGGCAGAGGTGCGTGGGCAGTCTTCTTCCCTTCTGATCCTTTTCATTTTAAAGCCCTTTTGATCAGACTTTCAAAACACTACAAAAATGCATTCTTGACAATCCTCGGTGCACTCTATTCCTGGCCAGGAGTCTGCTATTTTAAGCCACGCTTCAGGATTCCAAATACCATCCTCTGATGCCGTCTTTTTAATATCTGTTTACTTCCCAAAACAATTCTTCTCTTCTACAGTCCTCGTCTTCACAGAGTACCAGTACGGAAAACCCTACCTGTGTCCTTAGTCTTCAGTTTCTTGCCCAGGGTTCCACGATCTTTCGCACATGCATGCATAAACCGTATATACACATGCAAACACACATACAAATATAGCATTGCATGTCTGTATGCACATATGTACCACTATCTGTATATGTACACTTTATGAACATACACATTGTACACACACGTTATGCATTCACACATAAGTATATGTATATAAATACAAACACATATATTATACACACACTGTAGCAAAGCGGAACAGTGAATAGAACACTCAGCCAGGAGTCAGGAAGACCTGAGTTCAAATCCAGCTTCAGACACTTACTAGCTGTGTGACTGTGGGCAAGTCATGTAATGTCTGCCTCAGTTTCCACATTTGTATGGATGAGGATAGCACCCACTTCCTTGGGCTGTTGTGAGGATCAAACATTGTAAAGCTCTGTTCTGATATAACGCAGCTGGCCCATCACTGTCAGGCTCCCTGTGGTTGCCTTTTGGAGGCATCAGTGAAGTTCTTTCCACACCTCCTCTTCAGTGACCAGGTGAACCTATCCCTAAAACCCCTTCCCACCGTCCTCTTCTCTAGGTTCGATCGGCTGAGCGCAGCCGCTGTTTTGTGAGGCCTGTTTCTGCTTCCTCTGCTGAGGAGGAATTTGAGACTGCCACACACGTGTGGAGGCTCCAGGTTCCTGCAGGGGCAAGTTTGCTAGAACATTTTTGCAGCTGTTTTGTCCTTCCACTTTTATCTTTGAATGGCCATGGGATCTTGGCTGAGCTGGACCTCTCCTGGGCCTTCTGTTGCTTTATGGAGAGATACACTTTCTATATATCATCTTTGAAAAGATTTTTACAAGTTTTATGTTCTAAACCTGTTATGGGAATAAATAATGGAATAAGTCTATCTTCTAAATGGCTATTGCCTTTGTCTACTCTCTCTCTCTTTTTCTGCTCTGCAAAGAAATCCAGGGTCTGCTAATTAAGGCGCTTTTACTCTCACTTGGTCTCCTTGTTAGAGCAACTGATTCACGCCGGCTAAATTTCTGCATGACATTATTATAATTGGTGTCAATATCCTTTCTCCCATCCATTACCCCTTTTCCAGTTTCAGTAATTTGTTTGAAGAAGTCAGGATTGCATCGTTTCCATTATATATAAGCATATTGTTCTCATTTTTATCTTTTCACTTAGTTTTTTTTTTTGTTTTGTTTGTTTTTTACTATTTTGGATCTTTTCTCTAAAGTCAGTGGTCTGACTATACACACAGCTGAGAGAAGAATGACTCTTAAATCACTCAGTAAACCTTTAGTAAGTGCCTACTGTGTGCTAGGTACTGGATAATAATCAGCATGATAATACTACCAGCAAGACCTAACCAGATAACTCTAGCTACATATCTTTCACAGAGAGACAGAAACCCCCATATCGCAAAGAAAGGTCTCAAAATATGCTGGACATCTCGATCAATAAGCTCTACTGGGACCGACCCATTCTCACAATCTCCTGGACATCATTTAGCCAAAAAACCTTAAGAGAATGACAGCAGAAGACTGCCCAAGGCCCAAGACTGGTCAGAGCCCCTGACTTCTCCAGGAGGTCCTCCAATGGCCCAAAGCCCACCAGACAGCTACGGGCAGGACCGGGGCTTTCCCCGATCCCGCCATGACAGTCACACCAAATGACACTCTTAACACGGACCGGACCACAACAGGGCAAAGCGTGCTGGGTATGCCACCAGAGGCCCTGGGCCGGATCACGGCTCTGCTGTTTCCCATCATGGGACGACCCTCAGCACATTCCTGCACTTGGCATCTGGGGTGAGGGGCTCCTCCCCTTCCAGCCCCAAGTCTAGAATCCTAGGGAGATCATGGTGGGGACACCGACTGTGAGACAATACACTCAACTTTTCTTTTCTTTTTTGGCGAGGCAATCAGGGTTAAGTGACTTGCCCAGGGTCACACAGCTAGTAAGTGTCAGGGCCTAAGGCTGGATCTGACCTCAGGTCCTCCTGACTCCAAGGCCGGAGCTCTATCCACTGCACCATCTAGCTGCCCCTACACTCAACTTTTCTGAGGGAGTCCCAGAGCGACTCCCTCCCTCCACAAAGGCTATCTGTCACTCAGGGTGGCTTTCCCCCCAGTCTGCAGGAAAGAATGGGGTCTGCCCAGTGGAGTCCTAACCTCCAGGACTGACGAGCTATCCTACCTGGGGGGCTGTCACCTGACCCTCCGCTCTCTTTGCGGTGTTTTCCAGTGACTGTGGCAGCAGGAGCTGAGAAAGAAGAGTCTCCAGGGGAGCTTTGGGGGCTCCTGGATGTGTCCCCAGAATAGGCAGGATTCAGGGCTGCCCGTGGGACCTAAGAAAGAAAACATTAATAATGAATCCAGTCCTTTCAGAAGGCAACAATCTGAGACAGTGAGAAGACACTGGACTTCAGAGGCAGGACCCAGGAGCCCTGGGCAAGTCATCTTATCTGAGTCAGTTTCCTCATCTGTAAAGTGGAGAAAGTACTTGTACCATTGACCGAGCAGCTTAGAAAACCATCAAGTTCCCTGTAAATGTGAACTCTGATCATCGAGAAGCTTCCGGAGTGTGGTCATGTCCATGGGGATCCTTTGGCCCTGCCCTCCAAAGAAACCATAACAGCGGGGGGAAATGCTTCTCTGGTTCCCAGGTCTGTGTCCTCCAGACGTTAGGAATTAACATTTATTTAATTATTCTAATCCTCTTGAAACAAATGCAAATCTAGTATCTGGTCTAACTTTTTGTCCTAGTAGATAAATAGTCCCCCTTGCTTGCCCTCAAACATTTCAGGAATAAATGGGGAATTGGCTTCGCCTCCATTCTTTCCACCTTCCCCAACCTTTCTGCCCTCCCAGGGTCAGTTCAAATAGACCCTTCTGCTCTTGTCTTTCCTGACCATTCCAAGGCACACTCATTTCCCCCTTCCTGGAACACCAGCGGTTCTCAACTGAGCCTGGACCCCAAGTCTAGCACCTAGATTGTTCTTTAACCGTTTCTAGTCTTCCCAGACTGTCAACTCCCGATGGTATAAGATTCTATTGTATCCTCAACCTCGCACGACATACATACTTCTAAAGACACTTATTGGTAGATTCCCAAGTGCTCTTCCCAAGCCTTCCAGCTCGGGTCTTCATGGAAAGGTGAGAGCAGAGCAAACACCTGCAGTTCTTACTTCAGCGGTCTGGGGTCCCACCCTGAAGCCTAGAAGCCTTCATCCCAACTGGGAAAGGAAAAGACATACCTCACTCTTAGACTCTGGTGGCTGTGTGTCCTGGATGGGGGCAGAGTGGCTGTCCTGCCCTCCGTCTCTCTCCAGTTCTTCTGGGTAACCATTGTAGGTGGTGTCAGGCAAAGAAGGCCCTGGTTGAGTGGCTGGACTCCCACTGGCAGGTGGACGGGGCCCTGGGGCCCCAGCAGAAGGTCGTGGTGGGGTGTTCTGGGACACGGGCTGGCTTCTGGGTGGAACAGGGGCAGTGAAGCCTCCGGGATGGATTTGGAACCCTGCTGGAGGGTGGAGGGTGGGAGAGGAAGAACAAAAAGGCAGGCAGGGTCACAGTAAGGTCAGGCTTAGGTCCCAAAGGTCATGTAGGCCAGGCAGTAAAAAGCAGGCCATCTCAGTGGCCCCAACCAGCTCTACCAAATGCCCTTGTCTCACTCTGAAAAAAGAAAGCAAACTGGGGGGTTGGAGTAGCTCTCTAAGCTCTCCTGTGGCTTCCTATCGCCCCTCGGCTCACACACCAACCACGTCCGCGTCTGGCATTAAAGTCGCTCAGAGGTGGACGCCACCGACCTTTTCAGGCTCACCCGAATCACTTCCCTTCCTACTGGTCAAGGGACCCCTGACTCGTCCTTTCCTGTGATCTTTCATCTCTGGCCTCAGCACCTTGCTTTCTGCCTGAAATGCCCTCCCTCCTCACCCCCACCTTTGGAATCCCAAGCTTCCCTCTAAATTAAGTCCAAGGGAGCCCCCTGATCCACCCAAGCTACTTTGTATTTATTTTGATTTACTAATCTTTGCACTTTATTTCCCCAATAGAATGGAAAGCTCATTGAAGGCAGGGATTTTAAAAATGTTTCTAGATACTAAGAGCCTACTACAATGTCTGGAACATTTGTTGTTATTTGGTTTTTTTTTTTTGGCTAGGCAATGGGGTTAAGTGAGTTGCCCAGGGTCACACAGCTAGCTGGTAAGTGTTATGTGTCTGAGGCTGGATTTGAACTCTGGTCCTCCTGAATCCAGGGCCGGTGCTCTAACCACCGTGCCACCCAGCTGCCTCTGTTCAGCTGTTTTTCAGTGGTGTCTGATTCTCTGTGTCCCCATTGGGGATTTTCTTGGCAAAGATGCTGGAGTGTTTTGCCATTTCCTTCTCCAGCTCATGTTACAGATGAGGAAACTGAGGCAAACGGTGACGTGACTTGCCCATGAGCTAGTAATGTCTGAGGCCAGATCTGAACTCAGCAAGATGAGCCTTCCTGACTGACTCTAGGCCCAGTGCTCTGTGCACTATGGCGCCCCCTAGCTGCCATGCCTGGTACACAGCAGGGGCTTATAGATGCTTGAGGAACAAATAGAAGGATAGGCAGACAGACAAACAGCAGACGAATGTGACAGACAGATTACAGAAGGATGTGATAGACAGGATGATCAACAGAGAGAGATGATAGATATGATAAACAGAGATGGAGTAAACACACATGATATACATGGAGGTGGGGAGGCAGAAGGGGGAGATGAGAGGACGAGAAGGGAGGAAGGGTGCCGGGGCACAGGCACACCAAGGCTGTGGAAGGGAGACCCTGCTTTCCCCAGGGGAGATGACGTGTGGCTACGTGCCCCGGGTGGTGGTGCACAGTGACCTCCTGAGAGAAAGGAGACAACAGGAGGGGCACTCACGGGTCTGGTTGGAGGCGTAGACGTCGGCAACGACGTTGGCGAGGTCCGTCAGCTCGCACTCCCGCAGGGCTTTGATGAGACAGTTCACCCAGTCGGTGCGCTTCCGAAGGTGATCAAACAGTTTCCACACGCTGTCGCGGTTGCCATGGCGGTCAATGTAGGCGCGCAGCTTGTCCTGGAAGAGAAGGTTGCGCCCATGGCCTTAGAGGCCATGGTCCTCCAGACCTCCCACGCTAGCACTGTGGCAGCCCTCGCGACTGACAACGGAGAGCCTTTGCAGCTAGGGTCCAAGCCTGGGAGAGGCTAGGGCAGGATCCCCCTCCCCCAGGCTAGGGCCGGCGTCCTGGAGATCTAGCTGATGAGGCAGGAGAGGGGAAGAAGCTTGGGGGAAAGCTGCCTCTGTCACCTCGCCTACCTGGTCAGCAGCAGTGAGGCAGGGCAGGTGGGACAGTATCTCCAAGACATCGATGCGGAAGAAGTCGCTGAGGTGGAAGCGGATGTACTGCTCGGTCCGGTCCTCGGCCAAAGGCATGATCACTCAGGTCCTGGGGGAGAAAGGAACGGGCTCTGTGGTGCGGTGAATGTGGAGGGAGAGGGCCTGGGCCTGACCCCTGGCCCTGCCGCCTGCTATCCGTGCGACCCAGGAAGCTTATTCTCTTCCTGCTCTCGGGGGGGACCCCGTTAACTTGAGCTAAGTTCCTTTCAGGTTCTAAATCTGTGATCCCATGGAGAGCGAGTGAGGAGAGGGCGCTGGCTCAGCTACGGCCATCGACGGGCGCTCCAGCAGAGAGGGAGAATTCTTCAGAAGGTGAGGCCACAGAACCACTGAGGCTTCCCGAGTTTGGAAGGAGGACGGAGGGGGAGAGAGGAAGGATGGCGGTGGCCAGCTGATGGACTCCCAGACTGAGGCCGCCCCTTTCCAGCGAGCAAGGCCTGATGATCAGTGAGACTCCGGCTGCTCGTCTCCTGAAGACCTTCCATAACCCCATGCAGTCCAGGTTGGCTGGGAAGTCTGGTGTGGAGGCAGAGGGATGGACCAAATGACCTCTGATCCCTTTCAAACCAATTACAGAATGTCGGAGTTGGAAGGAACCTCAGAGGCCACCCCGTCCAGCCGACACCTGAACACGGATCCGGACGAGGCATCGCCAGCCTTCCCCTTGAGACTGCGGAGGGGAGAACCCACAGCCGAGGTCAATCTCTTCCACGGGCAGACCACCGTGTTAGCGCGGTTTTCCTGACATCAAACCTAAAAACGCTTCTTGGCGACCTCTGTCCTTCACTCAGAGCTCTTCCCTCTGGGGTCCAACAGCATAAATGGAAGCCCTGCTCCACAGATAGTGCCCGCCAAGTCTTCTCTTTACAGCACAGACCCCGTTCCTTTGAAAGCTCCTCACTTGCCACAACCCTGAAGCTGTCACCATCTTGGCCACCCTCCTCTGGACCATCATCCTTCCTAAAACATGGCCCCCAGACAACACAACACTGCCCCCGCATTCCCCCCAGCACCATCACCTTCTTACTCTGGAAAGCCACATTAGCTTTTCTAGCCGACGTACCTGCTGCCAAACCCCCACATACTTATCAAGGAAACTCTCAGTCAGTCATCTCTCTCCATCTTGTCTTGCTTTTTGAGCAGGGGTAAAACTTTTCATTTATCCTTACTTGGTCTAATGTTCCAGCCCACCCCCAGGATGTCACCCATCCCTCCCAGCATTGAGTCATCTCCAAGTCTGATGCTAAATCTATCCCTTCATCCAAGCCAATGACAAAAATGTTACCCGGCACAGGGTCAAGCTAAGATCCTGTGGCACTTCACCCACTGGTGACCGCCTTCCACTGAGACATTAATGACTCTTCTCTGTGCCTGGCCATTTAACTAGCTCCAAATTCACTCCACTGGATCATCATTTAATCCATAATTCCCTTTCCATAAGAATAGCATGAGAGAACCTGTCAAATGTTGCGATTCTGTGGTGCTTACAATTTCACCATTAGAGCTTCACTCCTTTGGACTGTGGTAGAGTCTTGTTTCCAGAAGGTCCCAGTTACCTTGGCACAGCAGAGCACAGCAGACTGGCCCCAGCTGAGAGCACTGCCACCTAAGGAGACGGAGAGAAGGGCATATTTTGGGGCTGCAGAAAGCACAGAGAATCATGCAGTATCACAGCAGAGCAATCTTAGAGCACAACACATGGCCCCAGGTGGGAGGGCCCCAAGAACAGGAAGTTTGTTATGATGTTCAGTGTTTTAAACAGCACAGTGACCAGACCATGGGATGCACTTTTCTGGGGAAAAGGGAAGATTGCTCTGCATCTTCCAGTCTTGGAGGGCCTCGCCTCGCTTTCTGACCCAAGAGCAGAAGCAGCTGCTCCCCGGCCTGACCCTCCGGGGACAGGAGGGGTGGCGCATTCCATCTAAGGGGGCAGGGGGACGTGGGGGAAAGGTCACTGGACCTGGAGCCTTCTTCCAAGAGGTCCTCGGTTCAAGTCGGACGGCAGCCCCGGAGGCCTCTGGGCCTCAGTGTCCTTCTCTGTAAAGCCTGAGTGCGTCTGGAAGGAAGGGCTGCCCAAAGCCCGGCAGGGCGGGCGGCAGGCGCGCCCCGGGCTCTGGGGACAAGGTCACGGGACGCGGCTACTCCGGGCGAGGCCACAGGGGCAGGTGCCCGGCCAGGCACGTGGCCGAGGCGCCAGCTGCCCCGGACACGGCCTGCACAGGCCGGCCACGGCCACGGCCACGGCCACGGGAGGGAGGACGGCCGGGAGGTCTCCTTCCAGGCCTAGGTGCCAGCGCGGAGCAAAGAACGACGGACTGGCGCGTTCCCCGCCCCCCGCCTCAGTTTCCTCCTCGGTCCCACCTGCTGCACTCCGAAGCTCCCCCTCCCCCACCCAAGGACCTCGGTCAAGGGCAGACGGGCCGCCCCGGTCTATATCGGGGGTGCGGAGCGTGAGAGCACCCCCGCCCTCCCCCTTCCGCGGCTGCGCCCGTGCCCCTGACCTCCAAAGGGCCGGGCGCCCGGTGGAGGGCCGGGGTTCCGAGACACAGCCCAGCTTACCTGCGGGCAAAGCCCCGGCCCGCGGCGGAGGCCGGCGATTGCACAGCCGCCCAAGGCTCCGACGCTGCCCCCGGGAAGAGGCTGAGAGGAGGGGGCGGCGGGCGGGGGCGGGGCCAGGCCAGGCCCAGGCCCAGGGCCAGGCTCGCGCGCCCGCCCTCGCGGCACCAGCCCATTGGTCGCCCGGGTGAGGGGGCGGGGCCCGGAGCGGAGGGAGGCGGAGGAGACCAAGGAGCGGGGGAGAGGAGGGAGCAGGCGAGGGGGCGGGGCCCGGAGCGGAGGGAGGCGGGGGAGGAAGTGAAGGAGGGGCAGGGAGCGGGGGTGGGGGCGAGGGACTGGGGGAGGGGACGAGGGGATGGACTGCAATGATGTGACAAAAATCAGGAAAAAGAGCCGACAGGCCCTGCCAGGCGCCACCCGGCGCGGCTCCAGACAACAAGTTACCCCAAAAACGGGCGTGAGGGAGGGGAAGCACTGCAGGAGGAGCGGGGCGGGAGGCGGGGCTTTGTTAGACTTGGAGGGGGGTCTGGGACATAAAACATGGCATGGCAAATGGGGGGGGGGGAGTCCTTGGGACACAGAACATGGCACGTCAGATGGGGGGGTCTTGGGACACAGAACACGACATGATGTGGGGGCAGAGGGAGGGGGTCGCACTTTAGGGATCGTCCCTGTGGGTTGTCTTCGGATTACTCTCTAACAACTTCTGGTGAGGAAGGATGGACAGGTCGGTAAATCTCATTTTCAGTGCCGAGTATGCCCAACCCTAGGGCAAAAACAGAAGCCTGGTCTGGGGAGATGCCAGGCAATCAGAAGGGCCCAGGACTTCCCAGGGCACTTCTGCGGTCTTACAGTTCCACTGACTGAGCTGTGTAGACTTTGCTCAGCTCTGGACTGTCTCTGCTGGCTGAGGACCTGCCGGGCTAAATTTGACTGGCTACACACAGACACATGCTCTGGCCACTGCCCCCCAAAACCTTATACTAAGTATCTAGAGAGCTGTGGTCTGGGGGGTAGAGGATGCACTCCCACAGATGAAATCACAGGCCTTTAAGTTTGACTTCATCCCACTACTAGGAAAGTTCCAGGTGCCCAAGGCCGTCCCTGTGGCCCATGGACTACAGAGTCTCCATCCGCCACAGGCTGGCAGGTGTGAAACAATCGACCCAGCTCCTCGGTGGTGACCCTTTCCTGTTCCACTACAGGGAGGGACCTCTGGTCTCCTGTCTTTAGTCCTTCTTTACCTTGGTCTAAAGGCCAGCCCTCTGGGGAAGATTGCCCGGCCTACACCTAAGATCACATCCCTGCCAACTCAGCAGAGTGACGGAAGCTACAGTTGCTCCCTCCTTCCCTTCAAGAGTGCAATATGCAAACATCAAACCTGGCTTGTGATCACTATTAGAAAGTGCGAGCCGCTGGCTTGGGAGAGGAGGCCGTGCAGGGGTCAGAAGGAACGTGGCACCGAGGGCCAGCGCAGCTCACCTTGAATCCCGTCTCTGCTAGGTGCTAAGTCAGTCCATCTTTGTAAGCAACAGCTCCTTCGGTGTGAAATCAAGGCAAGGCCCAATGGGGCTTCTGCCGCTGTTGTGTGCTCCAGACCCCTGGGCCGGTCAGTCTGGTGCAGCCTATGGACCCTTTCTCAGAATGATGCTTTGGAATCAATTATACTAAAGCCCAGTTATAGAAGTTCACAGAGCCCAGGCTAAGAACGCAGGTCTCGGGATCCTACACAGGCAGGAGCAGCCAGGCCCTCGAGGAGGACAGCCGATCAATCCACAAACTTTTATTAAGCACCGCTCCATGCCAGGCAGAAGGCTAAGCCCCGGGGGTGCAAAAGAGAAATGAAACCATTCCCTGTCCTCTGGGAGCTTACATTTTATCAGAGAATATAACACATACACCAGGAAGCATAAACAAAATACAAGGTTAGACAAACTCAAGTGGTGAAAACTATGGTCTCCAAAACTACTATCTCCCTTCTACCATTGGCCAGCCCTTACAGTCAGCCCATGCTATGGCCTGAATGCCACAGAAGTCACCCCTGGGAACACTTCCTAATGGACCTCTTCCACAGGTGTAATTTAGAAAATCACCGGGGCATCCCTCCCTAAAAGGATTTCCGGGAGGCACAACACAGGATGCATGACCCAGACACCTTCTCCATACCAGAATTCTCTTGGCAATGTGACATAGCTTGAAATCCCGGAACTCTGTATTGTCATAAAAACCACAGCGAAGGGTGACTCAAAGCAACGTAGAGATACGCGGTGGATGGAGGACTGAAACATATTATTGCCCGTGATGACTGGCACGGGAGAGGGGCCTAGAAGGCATCACTGATGCTGGGTGGCCTGGGCATCTTGCGACAGTGTCTGCATTTGTATCCAGGGACAGTAAAGGAACCATGTGGTGGCTTCGGTCTCTCCATTCAAACCCAAGCCCAGACTGGAGCAACCTGAAGGGCAATGAGCCAGCCAAGACCTGCGTGGGGCCAGAGGGGAGAGCTCTCCTCAGGAAGCAGAGTGAGCGGAGACAGAGAACTCTGGGTTCTCAGAAACACTGCTTCTTCTGACAAGCCAGACCCAGCGGTCAATCCTTGCAGGGGCCCTTAGGGCAATGCCACCTTCTGTACCCCAAACCGAGTGGAATGGCCTGCCTCGGCAGGGCCCCCTCTCGGCCCCAGGCCTGGCCTGGCCAGCTCATGGGAGGCCCTCACCTGGACAAGCTAGCACTCAGTTCTTTCTCCAATCCCTGAACAAACTGGTCATTGAGAAAGAGCAGCTGGCCCTGCGGAAGGAAGTGGTTGAGGATGATCTCGATGCGGTCCGCTCTGAGGAGGACGTCGCTGCCCGAGGAGAGCAGCTTCAGGTGATCCAGGAGGAGGCGGGCGAGCAGGCGCAGGGTGCTCTCAGCCAGCAGCAGATTCTCGTGGGGTTCACAAACCAAGACACAGCCCAGCGACAGGACCCCAAGCCACACGGCGACCTTGGCTTCCTGGAAAGGGTCCCCAGGCCGAAGGCGGAAGACCCCTAAGGGGGCATCGTGCAGGGGGATGGGCTCATCAGAGGACTGGGGGAGCAGATCCATGGGAGGCCGGCCCGACGCCTGCTGCAGCAGCTTACACGCTGATTCTGCCTGTCTAAGGGAGGCACAGAATTCAGGCCCACAGGAGGGGGCCTGAAGAGAGTAAAAACCTGGGGATGGCTTCTGAATGGAGAAGGGCAAAGACCCTGCTGCTTTCTTTCATAGCCACCCACTTCCAGGAGGCATCCTCTGACCAAGGAATAAAACTATACCCCCTCTCACCCTGGTCTGAATGTGTGCCTGAGGGTGGTGCCAAGAGCCTCCCCCGGGAGACAGCCCCTTGGATCACCTAAATCTCAGTTTCCCCATCTGTCAAATGGGAAGAATTACCCCTACGTACTCCAAGGGCTCTTCTAAGGCCGTCGTCACGGTCAAATACAGGGGATGTTACTGTGTGTCCTGGCGTCCTGAGTGAAGCAGCCTTTCCAACACCTACATGCCCGACTCTGAGAGGCCAGCAGGGGGAGCTGTCAGCCCAGCCCTGAGGAAGCCCGGCTGTCCGGCTCCAGGTGCTTTCAGGGGCTGCTGTCCCGGGACAGCAGAAGACATCACCCCAGGTTCTGGTGCCCTCAGAGTTTGGGGCTGTGGGCTGGGTGGCCACGTCCTGATGAAAGGATGGAGGGGGCCAGGCAGGGCAGGGCAGGATGAGGCATGTCTGCCTCCACAAAAGGTCCATTCACCCCACAAGGGTTGCTTTCCACCCGTGGGTCTCTTTAAGATCCAGCGGGGTTTAAGTACAATTTGGCCCCGCCAAATTGGTCCAGACTAAACATAAATATCAAACTGTCACTGGATAATCCCAAAGAATTTGTCTGACTCTGGAAAACGTCTTCTAGTTTTCTCGAGGCTGTCCTAAATAATAGAATTGTTGAGCAGAAAGAACCCAGAACTTACAATCAGCAGAACTGAGTTTGGATGCCAGCTGGTTACCTCACCCCTCTGAGCCCCTGTTTCTGTATCTATAAAATGGGCACAATGATTCTTGCACTCCCCACTTCCCAGGGTCACTGGGAGGAAAGTGTTGTACAGGCAAACCTAAGAGGGATATGTCGATGTGAGGTGTTCCTCTTACAATGCCAAGTGGTTTTTTTGATGCAAATGGGGAGGGGGAGAACCCAGAAATATGTAGGGGACCACAGGAAAGCCCCATTTACCTTGCTACGGCCAATAGCTGCTCCTTCCTGAGCAGTCTGTCCCTCTCTGGACCGTGAGGCCTGGGGTCATCCGGTGACCTCTCTGACCCAAATACTCGAGAGTACAGCACTCGGCAGAAGGCAGCATCCCCAGGGGCCTGGGTACTCAGCGTATGGATCAGGAACGCATGGACCATGGTGTCTGGAAGCTTCGTCCTAAAAGGGGAACCCAGGACAATCTGGGGGGAAGAAGAGGAGGGCAGCAGTGAGTCTGTGGAAGAAGCATGTAGTCAAAGCTGATGCCAACCTTATATTCACTACAACTCAACTGAACTAACACTGCCTTCGGCTGCAAGGGTCAACGAATCCTCGTTTCAACTGACCGTGATGCAGAATCCTGATAAACACAGTCAAAGGACCTGGGCCAGTAGCTCAGTGGTTAGAGCCCAGTTTTCATGGGACCCCAAACTACACACAAGAAGCACCCCCAAAAGGATGACAAGATCCAGGGTGAAATCCTAATTTGGGGCTGTTCACTCATGTGGTACGATATTCAGTAAGCCCCCATTAAGTACAACATGGATCAGTGGTGGTCAGCAGCCCTGGGTTTGTATCCCACCATGGATGCTTACTACCTGACTACTGGGCCTCTACTTTCACAGGGGGCTAGAAGAAATGGCCTCTGAGAGGGCCTGAATTCAGGAGGACCTGGGTTCAAATCCAGCCTCAGACACATAGCACTTACTAGCCGTGTGACCCCGGGCAAGTCACTTAACCCCATTGCCTAGCCAAAAAAAAAAAAAAGAAAAGAAAAAGAAAAAGAAAAAAAAAGAAATGGCCTATGAGATCCCTTCCACATCTATGATCTTCCGAACTGTGTGCAAGGCCAGGGGATGTCCAGGGTGGACACAAGCTCTGTCCTCTGCCCACGCAGCTCATAGGTAAGCAGGCAGAGGAAGACAGAAGCTGGAATCTGGGACCAGAGTAGGCCTTCCTGTTAAAGCCTTGTCAGGTTACAGAAGAAGTGGAAAGAGGCCCTGTTCCCCGGCTGTTGGCTGACTCCTCGACTCCTAGCTTCCTAGGACCCTGAGGAGAAAGTGTTCTGGATGGGGTCCTAGGGGATGGCGGCTGGGATGGGGGCTCTAGCACGTGGCACGATGCCGTCTCTCTGGAGCTTAGCTCCCTCATCAGAGAAACCAGAAGGCTGGGATGTAACTTAAAAAGGGGACTACAAGCCAGCCCGGGAACCCCTGAAAAATCAGCTCTTTTTTCAGGCAGAGAGACAAGGGATGAGGAGGGTGGACAATGTCCTGAGACAAGCTCACCCACTTATTTTGGCTACATTCTTTTTTTTTTGTTACAATGAGGGTTTGATTCTGGGGCACAGTAACTATATTGGCTGTTTTTGTTGAACTGTTTTGTTTGTTACAAGGAAGAGTTCAATTTTGGGGCAAGTGAGGGAGAACAGAGAGGGGTGAGCGAGTCTATCAAGAATGATGTGATGTTAAAAAAATAAAAGAGGTCAACAAGATGAAGGGTTCTTAATCATGGAGCCCTTTGCTGTCTGGTGAAACCCATGGACTCCTCAGAATATTTTTTAAATGGATAAAATATGGCATTACAAAGGAAACCAAAGGTTAGTGAAAATAAAGATGTAATTTTTTCTCTGTCCAAGTCCACTGATCCTCCAGGTCTGTGAACCTCAGTTAAGAATCCCTGAACTACACAAGAAATAAAATGGATGATTTGATTATATAAAATTAAAAAGGTTGGGTCATACAGTGGATAGAGCACCGACCCTGGAGTCTGGAGGACCTGAGTTCAAATTTGACCTCAGACACTTGACACTTAACTAGCTGTGTGACCCTGGGCAAGTCACTTAACCCCATTGCCTAGTCAAAAAAAAAACTTAAAAGCTTTTGCACAAACAAAATCAACTTAGCCAAAATCAGAAGAGAGACAGGTAAATGGAGAAAAAAATCTTTATGGTAAATTTCTCTGCTAAATGTCTCTTATGTAGGAATCTGATTCAAATTTACAAAAATAAGGGAGAAGCAAAGGAAGGGAAGGCAGAAAGGCTCCCCATAAGATGAGATAAGCCTAAAAGGAAAGAGGCCAGAGGTAGCAGAATAAAGGGAACAGAATATACATACCATTCATTTCCAAATGTACCCACCTCACCCCACCCCATCTACTAAACAGCAAAACCAAACCACACATCAATCACATCAGAAAATATAAGCCACCTAAGCAACATTCCAGGAAGTCCCCCCTGCTTCAGACAAAGGAGAAAAGGACATTTTTTGATCTCTGGCCCAGGATCAAGCTATTCATGCAATTCTTATGAAAAAGATGGAGATGTGAGCTAGATTAGAGGACCATCTGGTGTATTCAGAACTAGTCAAATAATTCAATCCAAAAAGTAGTCATTAATGATTCCCTCAACTTGGATAGGCAGTTAGGTGGCTCTGTGGATAGAGCACTGGGCCTAAAGTCAGGAAGACCTGAGTTCAAATCCTGCCTGGGACATACTAGCTGTGTGATCCTGGGCAAGTCACTAAACCTCTGCCTTAATCCACTGGAGAAGGAACTGGCAAACCACTCCAGTACAGAATCAGACTGGAGACTGGTCAACAATGAATTTGGAAGACCTGCGGTGCTTAAGGCACTTTTCCTTAATATTTTTATCAGTGACTCAGATAAAGCAGAGACTACGTTTATCAAATCTGCAGATAACACAAGGGGGCAAGGGAGGGGTGTCAAGATCTAAAAAGATCACAACAGATTAGAAAGTTAACCAAAATCTGGAAAAAATGAAGCTGAACAGGGATAAATATAAAGTCTTGCACTAAGGTTAAAAAAAATCTACCTGACATGGCCAGGCAGCAGCTTGTCTACAAAAGATCGTGGGGTCTCAATCTGACTCAGAAGTGGGACGTGGTGGCCAAGGAGGTTAAGGGCACCTTTGTCTGCATCAAGAAAAGGAAGGCGTCCGTCCGGGGTTAGCCTGGTGATGCTCTCAGTGCATAGTCAAGAAGCTCTAGATGCAAATCCTACCAGTTGTGTGACCTCGGGCAGATCACTTACCCCTGTCTGCTTCAGGTTCCCCATCTGCAAAATGGGGATACTATCACCAAAAATAAAATGCGATAATTTTTGTAAAGCACTTTGCAAACCTTAGAGCGCTCCATAAATGCTCTCTTCTATTTTAATTATTATTGATTACTGGGTTTGATGTCAGGGAGAATTTGGGGGCCAAAGTGGGGTGGGCTGCCTTTTTTTTTTTTGGAAGGGGGGAGGCGCTCTTCCTCCCTCAAAAACAACAGTAGAGCAGTACAGCTTCTAACTTTGGAAGCCGAAGTCCTGCGTTCGAATTCAAGTTCCGCCAGTTTCTAGCCACGTGCGTCCCTACACCTCGCCGGGCCTCAGTTTCTTCATCTGTAAAGTGACAAGTGAGGCCCGTTCCGGCTCTAAAGATATAATCCTACAGCCCCGGCAATCCAAGATGCCCAGGCCTGGGAAGCAGCCTCTCCTGGTAGCAGGGGGATGGCTCGCATGACCCGGGGAGGGGCTTCCTGGGTCAGCTGATCTTCCTGGCCCCCGCCTGGCTCCGCCCTCTCCTGACTCCCAGAGCGCGGCGGGAGGCCGCGGGGGTCCTTGGCGTCACTTCCGCACATGCGCCACTCGGCACCAAGTGCATCCTGGTCCTTGTGGTCCCTCTCCTACCACCAGCCAAGCCCTGGGAGGTCTTTCCCAGGCCAGCCTCCTCCACCCCTGCCCCTCCTCACCTAACCGCCCCCCACGGGCCCCCGATGCCACCCGGGAGAGAACCTGCAGCTCTCACCCCTCCTACCGGGCCGGGCAGCTTCGGGGGCGAGCCCCTGACGCAGCGGAGCCGGGGCGCAAGGGAGACGCTTACGTCAGCACGCACGCACGAGCACGCACGACGACGCGGGGCGGGGCCAGAGAGGGCTTTAAAAGGACTTTGTTGGGGGGGCGCGGGGGCGGGGCTGCAAAGGCAGGAGGGGAGGAAGGAGGAGGGGCGGAAGGAGGAGGGGCAGCTGGAGCTGGGGAACGGCCGGAGGCGTTCCTCGTACGTTTAGAGCTGGACGGGACCTCCTAGGGAATGTGCTTCCGCTTTCTCCACAGTCATGAGTCTGAGCACTTCCCTTCCTGCTCCCACTCCTGCACTGGCTCCCCATTGCCTGGGATCCGAGCACAAACTCCGCAGGTCTCCATGTGACTCCCTCAAGCACGTGGGTCCTCCGATTGCGTGGCAGCCGCTTCCTGCACGGCGCCCGCCCGGTCCGAAGCCACTGCGCACAGAGCCTCGGTTTACGTCCTGCCTCCGCCCCCCATTACCGGCGCAGCCTTTCTTCCCCAGGGCTCAGTTCCTTCATCTGCAGAATGGGAACCTCGGCCTTCCGCGTCGAAGGCCGTGGGCCTCTGGAGAAGAAGCTCAGGCCGCAGCCCTGGCTTCACCTTGTCTGGGGCTCCCCGTACCCTCCTCCAAAGAGAACGATTCTGGCTCCTCCTCGTTCCATCGTTAGACTGGAAGCCCTTTGAAGGCAGGGACTCTGCCCATGTTAGACACGGTAAATGGGCGTTAAACTTAATGGAGTTATCTGCCCTATCGTAGTATTTCTCAGTTATCCTGTATTTGGTTTTATTTTTCTTGAATTTTATTTTTTATAATCACATGTAAAAACAATTAGTTTTTTTAAATTTTGAGTTCCAAATTCTCTCCCTCCTGCCTTCCCCTCCTCCTCCCCTGAGATGGTAAGCAATTTGATCCAGGTTATACATGTGCAATCATGCAAAACGTATTTCCATATTAGTCGTGTGAAACAAAACACAAACCTTCCCTCCCCCCCCACACACAGAGACAAAAAAATAAAAGGAAAAATAGTATGCTTTGATCTGCATTCAGACCCTATCTGTTGTTTCTCTGGAGGGGGATTGCATTTTTCATCATGAGTCCTTTGGAATTCAATTAGATCATTGTATTGCTGAGAATAGCAAAGATCACAGCCAATAGTTGTGCAATATTGCTGTTACTGCCTACAGTGCTCTCCTGGTTCTGCTCACTTCACTTTGCATCAGTTGATGTAAATCTTTCCAGGTTTTTCTGAAATCATCCTGCTAGTCAATATGATTGACTATTCCTTCACAAGGTACCTAGTTGGCAAAGTGGATAGAGCACCAGGCATGAAACCCAGAAGACTCCTCTTCCTGAGTTCAGATTTGGCAGCAGACACTTACCAGCTGTGTGACCCTGGGCAAGACTCTTAACCCTGTTTGCCTCAGTTTCCTCATCTGTCAAATGAGCTAGAGAAGGTGTCTGCAGTGTCTTTACCAAGAAAAAAAAAAGGGTCATGAAGAGCACAGTTTGATTGCCTTTTGGGCATAGTTCCAAATTGCTTTCCAGAATGGTTGGATCAGTTCACAACTCCACCAATGATGCATTAGTGTCTCAATTTTCTCACATCCCCTCTAATATTTGTCATCTTCCTTTCTGTCAGATTAGCCAATCTGATAGGTGTGAGGTGGTACCTCAGAGTTGTTTTAATTTGCATTTCTCTAATCAATAGTGATTTAGAGCATTTTTTCATATGACTGTAGATAGCTTTCTGTATTTGATTTTTTGCAAAAAAATACAGAATTTCAGAAATTTCAGAACCTTCCTAAATTTCTTCTCATGAGATTTAGCCCACTGTTGCAGCCTGCAGAGATTCTGTCATCTAACACATTAGCTACCACTCTTTTTGATTAAATGAGATCCTTAGAGTGCTACATAGAGATTAGCTATTATTATTGTCATTTTTTGTTTGTTTTTTTGTTTTTTGTTTTTTAAATTTTGGAGGCAATGGAGGTCACACAGCTAGCAAGTGTCTGAGGCCAGATTTGAACTCAGGTCCTCCTGATTCCAGGGCTGGTGCTGTATCCACCGTACCACCTAGTTACCCCAAAAGTCATTTTTTAAGTCCCTCTTTTCTTCTTCTTTTTTTTTTTTTGGTGAGGCAGTCGGGGTTAAATGACTTGCCCAGGGTCACACAGCTAGTAAGTGTCAAGTGTTTGAGGCAGGATTTGAACTCAGGTCCTCCTTACTCCAAGGTCAGAGCTCTATCCACTGCGCTATTTAGCTGCCCCCAAATGTGTTGTTGTAGAATATTGGGGGGGAGTTATTTTATTTTAAAAATTTTTTTCTATTATTATTGTCACCTGAAAATCTGATAATCATGCTCTCTGTGCTTTCATTCGAGCCATTAATCAAAAATATTGAGCAGGACTGGAACAGCTAGGTGGCACAGTGGATAGAGCACTGGACTAGGAACAGGAAGACTTCCGGAGTTCAAATCAAGCCTCAGACGCTGACTAGCTGTGTGACCCTGGACAAGTCACTTCACCCCGTTTGCCTCAGTTTCCTCATCTGTAAAAAGAGCTGGAGAAGGAAATGGCAAAACCACTCCAGTATCTCTGCCAAGAAAAATCCCAAATGGAGTCGCGAAGAGTCAGGCACAACTGAAATGACTGCCTCCTCTTCACCTCCTGGATTCTTTGACTTTCTTCAAGTCTCAGCTAAAAACCCATCTCCTACAAACGCCTTTCTCAGTGTCCCTTAACCTGAATGTCTTTCTGAGTGTTGATCGTGAGTGTCTGACTAGTGACCCCATTTGGGGTTTTCTTGGCAGAGATACTGGCTTGGTTGGCTATTTCCTTCTCTAGCTCATTTGACAGATAAGGAAACTGAGGCAAACAGGGTTAAGTGACTTGCCCAGGGTCACACAGCTAGTAAGTGTCCAAGACTCGATTTGAACTCAGGTCCTCTTGACTCCAGGGCCAGCACTCTCTGTATTTCACCACCTAGCTAAAACTCTGGGGAAGGAGTCTGTGAATCCATTTAGATTTTCTTTGCTCTTATATGCAAATAACAAAACCAAACAGCACTTCTGAGGTGGAAACTTCCTTGTTCAGCCAGACTTGAGATATTGGAAGCTGTAAAACAGGCCCAACCATCTCAGCCTGCAGTCAAATAAACAAACCCACCTTCTAGGGGCTAAATAAATACTCTGTCCCCTACACAGATATTGGACTTTTTTTTTTCAAATGTATGTTAGTCAATAAAATATCAGTTCATTTAGAAGTATTATTGAATTTGTAGTAGCTTATGATGTAACATGACCTATATATATTCTCAAGGAGCAGATACCACTCAATTCACTTCACTTCAATTCATGAGGAGGCAGCTTCCTTCAACGGAAAGAGCTCAGGCTTAGAAGCCAGATGACCTGGGGTAAGGGTGGAGTTAAAACCATCCTGTTTAGCCCTGGTGACTGAGCTAGGAAAGAGCGCCTTTTGATTGACTTACCCAGGAGCAACTGAGTGTAAACAGGGCCTGTATACCTGGCAGAATCAATCAAAGCCACTTTGTGAGAGACTGGATCATACCCTAAGCAATTTGTAAAAGAAGGAGAAGGTATCTCAGAAGGAAGGAAATCGGGGTGGAGAGGAGATGCTAAGTAGCTGGACTCTTGAAAGTGGGACTGTGCCAAACCTAACAAAATAACCTTTGAGGAAAATCTTTAGTTCCGCAGACATCTCAGAGAATGACTCAGATGGAGGGAAAGCTCAAGAAAAGATCAGTTTTCTCCAACTTGCCTTCCTAATGCCTGTTTATTCCCAGATACCATAATATAACTTGCTGCCGTGTTACCTAAACGTTTGCCTCGGCCACAGAGAGACGAGGTGTTAACTAGAGATAGATGTAAATGAAAGGCTAGGCTGAGAACCCAACAGAGGTTGCAAACGACGAGCTCACTTTAATGCTGGGGGACCACAAAACGTCCCCCTGGGGTCTACTTGGTTCTCTCCTCTTCAACCATAGGAATTTCACATTTTACTTTGAAGGACAAGTTCTGTGTTCAATCACAATCACCCCAGGCCCTCAGTGAGGAAAATTCCTACCATGTTGGCAGAAATGGGATTCTTCATGTCTACCTCTACTTAAGCCCAGGCTGAGGCAAAATTCAGTTTACTGCAAAACATTTGGGTAACAAAATGGCAGATTATATTATGATGTCTGTGAATACACAGGTACTGGGGAAAGGGCTGACTTTTCCTTGTATCCTCTCTGAG